TTCGGGAAGATAAAGGTTATTATGTAACATGTCAGACGGAGACTTCGTGGGATGAGGGTCGGTTTTCAGTGGTCGTTTTGGAGGATGATCTTTTGCATACCGGTGTTCTCGGTATATCCGGTGGCAGTCTCGGAGATATGCAGTAACCAGGAAATCTCATCCCACCGCATGTCGCGGGGTTGAATGCGGCTGTATGTATGATACGCGGACTAGCCGCGAAGGATGGGCCGTGAAGCTAGTCTTGTCAGTCGTGAATCGGCATCTGCGGACTCGCCGCGGAGCTGCCAAACCCGCAACATCGCGGACTAGCCGCGGAGGATGGACCGTCGTGAGTCGGCATCAGCGGACTAGCCGCGAAGCCTCTACCTTTAAAACGCGGACTAGCCGCGAGGGCTGGGCAGCGAATCCAGCATACTGTGCTGAGCCGGCATTAGCGACTAGCCGGTCGCGGATTAGCCGCGAATCAAAGAACGGTCAGCGAAGCTACATTGTCGTGTTTCGGTGTCAGCGGACTAGCCGCGATTTCCGAGTCCATCGGCTCTTCTTCCAGGGTCGCGGACTAGCCGCGACTCTGCGAGGAAAGCTCGCGGCTGAAAGAGATTGGCATATGTTTGTCTGAGTTATCCGCATCTCATGTCCTGCACAGACCACTTGGCAGGATAGTAGCATCCCCGATATGACTGAAATGTGCTTCACATGTCACAGCCTAGGCTTGAGCCTCTTGCTCCGAGTCCGTATGGGAGGACTTCGATGGTCATGTCCTGAGAAGGTCCCAAGCAGGGAGAATCTGGGCATTGAGGAGTCAGTGACACGTTGAGTTCATAATATGTGTATATATATATATATACATGCATATATAGATATTATTGTATATATGTGCAGGTGTGTGTATATATATATATATATATATGTTTATTCATTTGTATATATTGTAACCACAAACCATCAGTATCTGAGGAACATGATCGCTGGGCGGCCAGCAGACAGACGACTCCAGGGCCTCGTTGAAGCTTGGGCAGGATGTGTTCCGGCTAGGCCAATGGTTTCAATCGGGTAGCCAGTTGTGGCCGCAAACTGAGGAGCTGGAGTCACACATGATGCAACTATGTTGGAACATAGGCGTGTTCAGCGTCACGGAGCAGCCCCGCAGCAGCGGGCTGTTTCAGGAGGGTCCGATTTTGGTGCCTCGACTTGTCTCGAAGAATAGAGGTGCACCGAAACATTTCTCCATATGTGACCTCCACTCTTCTCTCTGAGGCGTCCGTCGATGCAACCGGCAGCGAGAAGACCTGCCTGTTCATGGGGTCCTTTGCCCACAGCCTGATGCTGCCAGGCTGCAACGTAAGCCACAGATAGGAGGGCAATGTTAATGGCAAGGGAGAGGATGATAAAACATTCCATTCATCATTTTCACTCATGTATCCCAGGATGCCGACGTCCTTGGTCGGTACCCACTTGTATCTCATGAGGGCCCTGGCTGCAGTTTCCAAGCATTTTGACATGCGCAATCTGCCACCCGGCTGACCGTCTGAAGTGTGGGCAGCTCGCATGGATGAGTGTTTCAAGTTGAAAACACTGCGGACAAGCTAAGGTTTCTGAACCGTGCGACCACGGTGAGAGCAGCCTCTTTAAGAGGCGACGTGAGGGCGTGCCAGGGCTACACAAAGACTTTCGGATGCGCTGTCACCTGGCTGCCATGATGCATGGCTGCTGTATATTCGTTCTTCTGCCGTTTGCGCTTCCCGAAATCACCGAAGGTTGGCACGCTGCTAGAGTGGCGAAACCACAACAATCCCAATGATTTGCTGGAACTCGCGCCGGTTTTGATTCGGACATTGGTGGGACTGTTGACTTCGCTGGTCGCTTGTCTCACACCCAATCTAGACTTAGACACCCATCCTCAAGGTTTATCCAGATGGTTTCCTGCTTTGGGTTGTTTTTGCTTCCCCGTCCAAGGATAAGGATGGCCAGAAAATGCTGGACATCCGGCAGGCGAGGGTGTACGATGCCCGGCCATGGAACTTGGCCCTTCTGCATCTGCAGGCCCTCCAGGCCAGATGTGCATTTGCTTTTGCGCTTGCGTGTCAGTGTATTCTTCATGATATCTGGCGAATACGGATTGTTGCGGCACAAGTGATAATAAAGCCGAAGTTCGCGGTTTGTGTGTTCCTCCACGTCACACTCAAGTCTGATAATAGTCTGATGCTGGACGCCCAAGCGATTCACACACATACGGGGTACTGACACGCAGATCCTTGTTTCAGGTAAGCCAGTTGATGCCGCCGCAGCCTCCTCAGCAGGCCTTGCATATGCAAGACGTCTGAGCGGAGTTTTCATTTCAGTTCCTTCGAATTCGGGCGTGGAGAGTTGATATTCAGCGAAGCAGGACTACATCGACGACGATGCAGCCCCTGGCTTTGACCGGGATTGGGAGATATTGGCGTCTTGTCTGATAACAAGTCCGCTGATGCTCCGTTCTGATCTGGCTGGAGGTTTGCTACTTGACTCGTGTGATTTGTGACCTGGTGGTTTACAGTGTCGTTTTTTCACGACACTTCGTAAGGAAGAAGCAATCCACTCGGATGAGGATTGATGGAGACCCCTCTCATGGGCCTCGAGGACTGTCTGTGAAGTTCTAGAGTTGGTACTCCTGATTGAGCGAAGGTTTGTTTCCGGCTTGTTGAAGCACCCGTGTGCTCAATCAAACTCATTAACGCAGACACGAGTTCGCTTCTAGTCTAGTACCATGTGACGTACCAGTACCAGCATCTGTGTTTGTCGACGCATGCAGCAGGATACAAGCCACCGCAGGCCAGCGGCTCTCGGAGACCTGGCCTATCTTGTTGTTTCAGGGGTCGCTCTGGGTAAAATCACCGCGAGCACAGAGTCTCATGTCCTCTAGGATTGGTTGAAGCATGGCGTTTGCATTGAGGACAAGTCTACGGCAAGCGAGTTTTCTGGACCTTCGGATTTTGGGCTGTCGCCTTCTGATTCTGTCAGCATCCACGGAGTCTGGTGCTGGCATCCGCGAACATGAGTGAAGGGGTTCAGCCGCTCGAGAAATATGCGAGAGCAGGTTCACTGAGAGTGTGCTGCTTGCCGCAAGCAAGCCCCAGCCTTCCGTGTTGTATACGATATAGCAGAAACATGAATAGATGAATGTGGCATGTGCCCACCTGGCGGTTAGTCCGCCGGTGAATTACTACCCACTGTTTTGTCATGGCTTGTGACGTTGCGGTGTAGCCACGATATAGGCCCTGGTGTTGCGGACTAGCCGCGACCGCAGCGGAATTGCCGCGATGCAGGCTTTGGTGTTGCGGACTAGCCGCGACTGCAGCGGAATTGCCGCGATGCAGGCTTTGGTGTTGCGGACTAGCCGCGACTGCAGGGGAGATCCATGACATGATTCCTGTCGCGATTTATCTCCGACTCCTGCTCGAGCCTCGTGCCCGGGCCTTTGGAACTTCTTCGTCCCTGCATTGTCTTGGCGATCGGAATGCGCAAGACCGTGAGCAGGAGAAGTTTGTTGCCAAGAATATGAACTGTTTACTTGTTGGTGGATATAGCCTCGCTTTTCTAGTCTGCCTGGTGTCTTGCAGACATCGCACCCGTCCGCCAGGACCCTTTCTACGAAGTCCCTGGAAGCGGAACCCGAGAAAGAAGCTGATGCAGCTTCCCGTTTTCTGATGTCAAGTGCTCACAAGCGTTTGACAGAGTTTCTTGGTCCAGGCCAGGCAGTGAGCACTTCTTGAACAAATTTTGCTTCGAGTTCTTGCCTGCAGGTATGGCAGAGGAGCAGACCTCCCAGAAGAAGAAGGAAAAGAAGAAGGACAAGAAGAAGGGCAAGAAAAGCCGCCGCCCCAAAGGTTTCCGGGCTTTCATAGTTTCATTTTTTGTCACTGAGCAAGCAAGGCTCGAGCAGCGAAGTTCCCGACACAGACTCGGAGGAGCAGGAGGACTGGGAAGACATCACATCGATATTTGGATTGCCGCAGAAGGACATCAGCAGGTCTCCCAAGCAAGTGAGGCTTGAAGACCTCAGTGCCAGACAAGTGGCCGTCTGCTTGTGTAACGTCACCAACCAACTGCCCGCTGCGGAACTTATGTCGGTCGGAGGCGAAACCGCACCTTGCCTGCATCTGCTTACCATCCTGTCGCCCCTTCCTGCTAGCTGCTAGCTTCGCAAGTACATGTAGTAAGTTCCAGATGACCAGGATCTGCTGGCCACTGGCTTTCTTTAACTGTAGGCTTGAATAATTGCGATTGTTTTGCTTCATAAGATTGCTACCGTACGTGTTCTGCGCCTAAGGAAGCACTTCTGGTCAACAAGGCCAAGGGGTTGAGAAGAATGAAGGACAAGGGCAATCAGAATCAAGCTCTCAACCAGGCTGGTTGATTGGTTTGTCGGTATCCATCTGTGTGTTCTGTTGCTCTCCTCCTTGCTCGTTTTGATTGAAGGCAATGGCGGCAGGCGTGACTTGGAAAAGGCGGATGGCCAAGCTATGCACCCTCGGTCGCTTGTCCCAAAATAGACCTCGGTCAGACTAGGCCGTGCCGGCACCGTTGCATATCTGCGGTCGCTTGTGAGATTCTGCAGCAGCTCAGTTTGCGGGAAGAATCCTGCCCAAATCAACATCACCAACGCGTCAAAGTTGCACGAAGTCACGCCGCTGCTTCGCTCTCTGAAGAAGACTGCAGACAGGACCGAATCACAGGACGTTCTGTTGAAGGTTATTAGAATCAGAAGCTCCTCTTGATTCTTGCATGCAGGAAGTCTGGGAGGAAAGCTGCAGACTTTGCAGCTGAGATCAAGGATCTGCTCCGAGCGATGGTCCAGGAGACTTCTGCTGCTTGTGCACGATGGGGGTTACTTAAGGCATGGAGTGCCAGCACCTGTCCACTCAGCAATTTTGAATTTGCGGAGCGTTCTTGCCGCAGCCTTCTGTCTCGCAGCTCCCTTTTCCGTTGCACCACAGGTGCGTTCGTGTGCACTGTGCACCATGTCGTCCAAAGCCAGAGACTTCGACATCCCCCGCAATGTGCTCGACAAGATGTGTGATCGTTTGGGCGGTTACTTGGACAGGAAGAAGTCGGAGAAGGAGCTTTCCCTGGATGCCAGGGAAGCCGATGTGGCCCGTCGGGAGGAGAAGGCGGCGGCCACGCAGAAGCAGCTAGATGACTGGCACTACAACCTGAAGGCCAAGGAAGAGCGCCTCAAGGACAAGGAAGATCGTCTCCAGGCCCGGGAATCATGGTGGCACCACGATTACAAAAGACAAAAGGGTCCCCAGGGCAAGCACAACCCCGGCGGAAAGGGCTGGCGGTAGACTCTGGTAGATTCACAGCTTCCTTGGAGTGCCAAAAGAGAAGATTTTGCAGCTTGCACGCCTGACGAGCGAAGCTTTTCAAGTTTCCAGATCCAGTATGCTTGCTTTAACCGGTTGCCTGCAAAGACAAGAGATCGTGCTGCAGCTTGAGCAACCTGTTTCGGTCATGTAACGTTGTGGCTCAAAGCTTCAGGCTATAGGCGTCAACGGGAGCCGTGCCTCCCATGTCTCTCGGCATGGAGCAGATTCTGACGGCCTTGGCTCAGATGCAGGCGAATGCCCCCGCAGCTTCGACCACAGCTCCACTACAGCTCAGCAACCCGATCCTGCAGCAGCTTTTGTCCGAGGCAGCTCGACCCAAGCCTCAGTTTGAGGCTCAGGCTGTGTTGCCGCCAAATATTGCCCAGATGATTGCAGTGCAGCTGAAGAAAGAAATGGAGGCATCTGGGCAGGGCGTGCAGCAGCCGCAGCCGGAGAGCCAAGCTGTTGCTGCAGACAAGCAAAAGGCTCCTCGTGCAGAAAAGCAACAGGCTCCTGCTGCCAACGGCCCCGGTCCGAGCCGGATGCCTGGCGTGGGGTCCGCGAAGGGGCCGGCTTCCGGCAGCATGGTCCGAGAGTCTGACATCATGGATGTAACGGGTGGAAAACCTTGGACCAAAGCTGATGCGAAAACTAAGGTGGAGGACAAGCCGAAGCCAGAGAGATCCGTGCTCTCGCTGTGCAAGATCATGACTTTCGAGTATGTGGACAACCAGATGGTCGAGGTGTATGCTCGAGTGATCAACAAGCCTGGCTTTAAAAGAAAAGCCCCGGAGGCCCCGGCAAAGCTGCCGGCAAAGGACGACCAGGAGCCTGCGTTTGAGGAGGAGACTACTGACGCAGACGATGACAAGGACGCGCCCCAGAGCAGCATGAAGCCGCCGGAGCCGAATGGGTTCCTCGCTGCATTGTCACAAGCGAAGTTTGCATTTTATCGCTCCCCTCTTTTGGTGCTTGTCTTGCTGTGATTGAGTTTGTTTCGATTCGAGGCACCCACCGAATGACGATCGCAGCAATCGGCAAAAGGAAGCGGACAAGAATGGGGGACTCAAGCGTCAACGCGGCGGTCAAAGGCACAAGTGAGGAGGGCCTGTGACTTTTCTTTTCACCTTTGCTGCCCGGAAAGGCAGCGGCGAACGCCATGTGCTGTAGATAACTACAGGAGTTGCTCCGTAGCCTTCTGAGTCTTGCAGCTTCGACTTTGAAAATATGCATACTCGGTCTTGCATACTACGATATGGAGCATGTGCACCTTCGCTACTGTTGCTCCTTCACAGTACTGGTAGTGTCCTGTATCAGGAGGCCACCGACGACGTGGCCAAGCTGCACCGTGAGAGCGAGGAGGAGGCCCTCTCTCCCCGTCGCGGGGCAGAGAGGCCAAAGTCAAAGCCCCTTTCCAGGAAGAAGAAAAGGCGATGTGCAGAAGAGACCGTGCCTACACCAAAGGTTACGCCGAAGCGGCTGAAATTTTCGGAGCCAGAGCCAGATGCATCGGAGGACCCCGAGGAGGACGGCGAAGACGACGATGATCAGGAGGAGGAGGTTGAGGAGCCGGGCAGCGAGGATGACGATGTCTTCAATGGCCCGTATGCCCTGAAAGACAAGCCCAGAAAGCAGCTGAAGGCCATCGAGGATAAGCCGCCGCTGGCACTCGAGGATGAAGCGAAGGAAGCAAGGCCGGCAGAAACTCCCCAGTCGTGTGGCCTGGATTCCCTGCCTCGTGACCTTGGCAACAAGCTCAAGAAGCTCAGCGGCGATCTTCTGGAGACTCTGACAGGCGACTTTGGATCGCAGCTTGCCTGCGTGAAATAATTCAGAACTGCTGTTCCGTATTCTGTGACCTGATTCCTTCGCCGAGGTCTGATGTGCCCCATGTCATTGCTATCCTGGATGGAGAGCAGATTTATAGCCTCGCGGACGCCTTTGACGTCCTCCTGGATGTTGAAGGCATCTTTCGCACTTGCATGTGTATATACAGGCATCGTGGGCTGCTCCGCTAGCGTGAATGTAACTGCATGAGGTGAACTTCCTGGCATCCTTGGCGAAGAATCCAAGGATGCAGCGAGCAAACTGACGCTCCGAGGAAAGAAGATCTTGAAGCGCTGGCCCCAGCTACTCAAGGCCAGACGCGGCTATTCCGCAATTCCGCGCATTCCTGGCCTTTTGCAGCCTGTGCAGGCCAAGAAAGAGGAGATGGGCGACTGACGCCGATCTTCGCACCTTATTTAAAAGGAATCAGTTTGTTTTCGAATGTTGTGCCCGCTGGGCCATGGCTGCGTCCGTTTGGGGGAATCTACCTAGGCTGTGGAGTTGCCTTTTGACTGAACGAGCAGCCTCGCGACGCAGGAGGTCACTCTCCGCTTTTCGCAGCCGGGCAGCAGAATTCGGCCTTCGTTTCAGAGTATAGAGACAAATTAGTTCTTGAGCACAGATGTCGCTGCACTGTTGGTTTGTGGGCAATACAGAATTCACGAAGAAGCGGGGTTCGTTATCACGAAAGGCCTGGAAGGTCACGAATTTGCAGGGTTGCGGGCCTTTTCGGAATATGTTTTTTGCTGCTTCGGCAGCCCCCCAAACCCTAAATCTCAGACCCAGACTGAAACCCTAAACCCTAAACCGTCAACCCTCATAAGTGTCGGCAGTGTGGGCTTGTTGCATTTGTTGTTTCCGATCTCCTTACTCGTACCTCTCCCAGATCGTAATCATCAACCCCATAAGACCCTTCGGAATCATTACAGAAACCCCCGGGGCTCAGGTCTCCAAAGATACATTTCCAATATTTTCGAATCCAAACGAAGCTGTTCTGTGGTGGGGGGTGCAAAGACAATTGTTCCTAGTCCTGCAACCAGGCTTGTTTTTCAACCCAATAGACACTTTCTCGTTTGGGTTGCAAAGGTCCGAAATTTTTACCGATCCCGCCCCCAAAGTGGCAATTAGAAGACCCATGGTAATTGTATTGTAAACCGCAGAAATATAAGACCAATTCCCGTAAATTTCGTAACGCAGATGTTGTTTTCGTTTGCCTGCACCATAGTTCGTGACGGCGAGCATGAAAGTGTGTTTCTGGTTCAGCTTCACAAGGTTGATATGGCCCCCGTAGCACAACTTTTACTTGGAATGCCTGCTTGGCCAAAACCCCAAACCCTTATCAGATTGAGCGGGTCAGTCATTGGCCGAACTGGGTAGCAAACCGCAAACTGACTGAGTGCTTCGCCGCAATCCCAAATCCTAAACTTCCCTGAACGGACTGATCTGCTTTCCCAAGTAACAACCCCAAACATTCATTAATAAGTATATAGGATAGACAGGTGGCACTGCTGGCAAACCGAAGTTGGCAAAAGGCCACCCCAAGCTAGGCAATTTGAGTGGGGCCCCGCACTGAAGCAGCCCAGATAATCTCCCCAGGACAAGCCCCGACACCTTGAAAATGAAACGGCGGCCTTGGACACTTTTTTTTGGGGGGGTGGGGTGGTTGAGTAGGCATTATTGCTCCCTGCCCGACACCCTGAAAGGACGGTAACTATAGGCCCCGGTTAACTGAGCTTTGGAGTTGAGTTGAAGGATTTCTTGCCCCGTCACGGATAATCAGGCAGAGCGAAACCCCTTCACCAAAGCACCCACAGGACACCATTGACCTCACTGTAAACAGCCGATCTGAGGACTGCTGCTACTGCTGGGTGGTGGCCCAGTGGTGGCCAATTAAATTGTGGCGTCGAGCTTTTGGGGCTACCTGTGACCTGCTGGACAGGGCGTCCGGACGGGCCTCCAAAAAGCACTTGCTGTCAGTTGATCCAACAGTGTGTGATGCGTGGCCATCCGATGTGCTGTTTCTTTCCATCAGATTCGCTATCCTGCTGCCGGGCCGCCTGGTGCTCACAGGTAGTTTCTTCTTCACGGTTCAATAATGGTATACCTCGCCCAAGCCTTTGATAAAACTTTAATCACTTCCGTCGCAGGCCAGGCCTGGTCTTTTTCAGCATCCACTGCATGGATCCAGACTCCAGAACAAGAGAACAGAGAGTACCCGTATCGAAATCCCAGCAGGCAAATGAGCCTCCGCTCCAGTGCTCCCAAAGTAAATAAATTAAACAATCCTCACGGAAGCGCTTCCGCTGGCCTGAAGCCCCGAGGCAAGACGTGGCGTAATATCGGTGTTTGCTGTGTTCATGTGTAAATCTTGGCCCACAGGAGAGCTCCTTTTCCGAAGACTCCCAGAGCAGAGGCCGGCCGCGGGGGGACCTGCTTCCTGAACCCCAAAATGTCCGACCTCACACAAACCGCCCGTGCACGGTTCCTGGCTTCTAGAACAGTCAGAAGGTCGCCACAGGAGCCCGTGCCCCGAGGCCCATCCCGGGTTCCTGCCTTGTAGTACAGATAGAAGGCGAGGGCTTGGCCCGCGACATTTCCGAGGGTTCCAACGTTCTGCTTGCGATAGGCAGCGTTCTGCTTCGGCTCCGAAAGCGCGGGAGCGTTCTGCTTCGCCGAGCGTTCTGCCTCAACGTTCTGCTTGAGCAAAAAAGTTTTCGCACGTGTCCGCCACCGTGCCAAAACACGAACGCTGAAGCAGAACCATGAAACGCAAAATCTCTTAGAAACCAAATTATTGAGTGTTTCAAGGAAATGCAGAAATAGTGCGTTCTGCCTCAACGTTCTGCTTCAACATAAAAGTTTGTGCACGTGCCCGCCACCGTGCCATTTTTTTTCTGAAACACACCAAGCAGAACCGTTGTCTTAGGGAAACGGGCCAAGCAGAACCACTGTCGCAGGAAGTCACGCGGAGCCATGGACAAATGGCTGTCCACCAAGCTGCTGGAGATCAGAAGGACCCTCGGCACTTTTAAAAAGCCCCCAACGTTCTGCTTCGTCCTAAGGTTCTGCTTCGTTCATGCAACGTTCTGCTTCGGTTACCTAAGGACAGAGGACAAGGAAGAAAGGACCAACCTGATCGAGAAGTTCTTCGCGTTTCTCGATCTTGTGGATGACAAGATCGACAGAAGAGAGCCGATCTCTGCGAGGGTCGGTTCTGTGTCAAGAGCAACCTGGGAGGTTGCTTGGAGGCGTGCCATGCACGCTTTTTTTGGTGTGGACTCAACATCAGTCTGCGAACTGCGTAACTCCAACCAACCAAGGCTCTCCTCGACGACTTCAGAATGGACGCGGCTATTCTGCAAGTCCCCCTGCGACCAGCCAAGCCGCAGAAGCCAAACGACGCAGCCTCCGACAGCACGCCCACTTCTGAAAGCCCTGCCTCGTCCCTACCTGCCGGCCCTCACACGGACTACATCGTCAAGTATCTGCGAACCCAGCAGGGTATATTGCAGGTCCACATAGCATCTCGACTCCTGCTCATATTTTTGTTTCTGCACCTTGCCGTCTTGTTTCCTGGCCAAACCGATGAGCCCAGGTTCCCAGTGCAGCCGACTTCACTCAGGGCTACACATGCCTGCTGCGTGTGAACGAGGTATGGCCGCAATTGTCCAGGAACCAACCTTTCCCGAATTGGTACTGCAAATTGCGACTTGCCTCAACTTCAGACCACAGGCAGGCGAGCTGTGTGACCACAAGCTGTTGCTAGATATTCCAGCCAAGGCAAGATACCACGGCTGGAGACCTCCAGACTGCTTGGACGGTGGATTGCAAGCGGCATATTCTCCGTGCCAGCAATTACAAGGGCAAGCGCATTGACACGGGAGAGCAGCCTGTGCGGATACCATTCAACGGGCTCACATTCCCAGGCTACTTTCTGACAGCTCCTGGGGCCGCACAGATAGACTAAGAGGTCGGATTCTTTACTCCCTGCCAAGCACTCAGAGTCGATGTCTGGAGTGTATCCCCAGGTTGCTTCAGTGCTGCAAGTACGCAGCTGCAGCCCCAAGCATCAGAAGGCTGCGCTGGCAGCCATCAACATGGTCTGCTCTCACTGTCTCCCATCAAATCTGACCGTCGAGCTCCTGCCCCATGTGCCAGTCTGCAGCTTCAGTTGCAAGCAGTAATTAAGTTTCACAGCTGCCGCCATTCAGTCGCACAAAACCCTGTGGCCTTTCCTTCTCTAGGTACTTTGAAGATCGAGGACGGCGAAGTGAATCTGGAGGCTTGGGCGGCCACATTGGACTTCGTCGGCTGGAGTGAGAGGCCGCATAGCTCGAAGTCCTTTTGTCTGCGAGCACATGGCATGTGCCTCGAGATGCCAGGTGGAAGAGAACGAAAATTTTTACAAGCACACAGCAGAAGCTCCAGACAGGTCGGCCTGTGTCTGCTGTCCATGTTGCTTCTTACATATCTCGACCCCCAGAGGCATTCCGTTGTCCTCCGTGGCATGGTTCATCCTGCGGGGCGCACACGATGAGCTGGTGTGCCAGGAAGCTTGTTTTTTCGATTGAGTGCTTGAACAAGAGTCGTTTTCTTTTCAATAGAATGATAGATCTCAGATGTCTTTGTCAGGGCCGCTGCCGGAATGCTCGGCTGCAGAAGAGATTAATCCACATCTTGAGCCAGAAGGCCGAGATAACCACCCCGGCCAAGCTGATGCAAGTCATGCCGCCTCCCTCGCCTGGTGACGACTATCATCCGGCGCGACAGCAACTCCGAATAGCAGCCGAGTGTGGTCAATTTTCCTCATCCATCATCAGACCTGTCATGCCGTAAAAGACTTCCTCCGAGGGACGGGAGATCTCTGCGGATGGACATCAAGCCCAAGAATCTGGTTACAATGAACCGATGGCTGCACAAGGCTTCAGGAACCCTGGGTGGCACAGACGACACACTCGTCAGCCTCGGCTTGCAAGACGTGCTTCCTGCTCACGCGAATCGGCTTCCGAGATGCAGCTTGGCCTCTTTCTTCGTCTCAAGAGGCAGCCTTCTTCTAACTGAGGTTAGCCAGCGATTTTTTGTATCGCTACTGGCAGAAGTCTGCCAACGAGATCCGACAGGACCGGTAGATAAAGCAGCACCGAGCACATGGAAAGCACGATCAGTCTTTCTATCTTTCAGGACCTGGCCGCCCAGAAATTTCGCTCGATTCTGGTCATGGCAGACTCGAGCCCGAAAGGGACTTTGGATGCAGCTTGGCAGTCGTTGGCGACAAGTTGCCAAAATTGCCATCCATCCATTGCAAGTACGCCTGAGGTGTGGAGCGCCGTCGTCTATGCCGGTCGATGCGCAGCCAGCATGCCTTTGCAAAAGCTGGCTGACCTGCAGACCTCCACGGCCTCTGTTTCCACGAAGCTGGACGAGGCACAGAAGGTGGCTGACAACTGGGCCAGCAACGTCGCCCAGGGAAGGGAGGCCAGTGCTCGCAAGCTGTTTCTCGGATTGGTTGGTCTATGATCTTTGCAGCTTGGAGCAGCAAACTGCTTGCGGAAGCTAATCTCACGCCAAGGCCGAAGACGCTGTCCAGAATCAAGCAGAAGAAACTGGCCGCTCGAGAGCAGCTCCGATGCGTCTTGCACGTGTTGGACATCCTGGGTCTCGAAATGCTGCTGCCAACGACGAGACTTCGCCCCGTCGATCTGAGTGCAGGCGAACAGAGAGTCGCCAACAAGAACAAGCAGCATTTCCTTTGGAACCCGCACAATGGCGAGGCCTCCTGGGATGCCATCACGGAGACTTCACGTGAAGACCTGAGGCTGATCCTTGCCCCAGACGAAGGGAGCAGTTTGTACTGTTCGTTTGCATGGATGGCAAGTGCCGGATTTTCGGTCATGCTGCTGCGGGACGAATTGCACCTTGACTTTGAGGAGATGCACTAGGGCTTTGGGCATGCTTCTGCAGGGAAGTTTGAGTGGAAGCGTTCAGACCGAGGCACAAGTTGTCCAATCACTACCTACGAGTGATGCACTGCAACCCAGGTGTTGCCAGTTACTGGGCGGCAATACTGTGGTAAGCCTTGCTAAAACAAATGAGCCGCACGCTTCATCTGCCCTGCTCAGTTGAGGAATGTACAGCTTGACCTCATGGCTCATGAAAGCGCGGAAATGTCCATGGCAGACGAACAAAGTGGGCAACAGCTGGAAGGAAGCAGCTGCAAGGTACTTGCAATTTGCAGCTTGGCCTCAATGGTCTTCGTTCGCCTTCGTTTCCCTCTCCTCGCTCGGTCGCTTAGTCGCTCTGTCTCTCTCGACCGACTCTCTCTCTCTCACACTCACTCACTCACTCCCTCACTCACTGTCTCTATCCCTCTCACTCTCATACGTGCTCCAACTGAGCAACAGCGGTCCTGTGGGGGCGTGTTCTTTTGGGCTCCGAGTACGCTCCGAGTACACTGCTAAAAGAACGGCTGATTTGAGGCACAAATCAGCGAGCATTATGAGCATCAGTGGGTTCTTTCGGGGCAGGTGGGCAAGCATCATGAGCATTAGCGGTCCTGTGGGGGCATGTTCTTTTGGGCTCCTAGTACACTACTAAAAGAACTCTCTCTGGCTCTCTCTCTCTCTCTCTCTGTCTCTCTGACTCTCTCTCTCTCTCTCTTTCTCTCTCTCTCTCTCTCTCTCTCTCTCTCTCTCTCTCTCTCTCTCTCTCTCTCTCTCTCTCTCTCTCTCTCTCTCTCTCTCTCTCTCTCTCTCTCTCTCTCTCTCTCTCTCTCTCTCTCTCTCTCTCCCTCCCCACGTTAGAGCCGTTTTCGGTTCTAACCACCGCAGGGAGAGGGGGATGGAGAGGGACAGGGACCGGTCAACAGGGTGCTTTACAGGTCTGGTCAGAGAGAGACAGAGAGAGAGAGAGAGAGAGAGAGAGAGAGGATGCACATGATTAATACAACACGTCTCATAAGTAGGTTTATGTTGTATACATGTATATATATATATATATATCCACACATATATATATAAGGATAGATAGTGTAAACGACTACTTTGGTTCATCTACGGTCTACATTTACATGGAGGGAGAAGGTTGTGCGGAACAGGGTGTCCGATGAAACCAGCATCGTCACTCCGTTGCTGCAAGTCGCTGCCTGCAAAGGCACAGATGGATGATGTCTTGATGCAACTGTTCGGAAGCAGCATCCTGCACGAGTGCCTGGTCGGCAATGATCAGAGCACGCGGCAGCAGGCAAGCATTGCAACGCCCGTTCGCCAGGAGCGGATACGACTGTTCCGTCGAGAACATGGAGTCCTTCCAGATCATCTGCGAGATTGTGGACAAAGCCACAAAGAAACTGGGCAGCAGCAGGTTTCGAAACCATGGACGCTAATCCCTATAGCTGAGGCGAAACGGAGCTACGTACTCCCACTCGAGATGGTGCAGCTGGGGCCATTGCGCGAAAGCCTTCCGCAAGTACTACAGCTCGACTTTGCTTGCCGTCTTCTGGAGCTGCATGGAGGACGCAACATCTTCGTCCGTCTGTGATTCCTGAAGATGCATGTATTGTTTTGGTGCCTGGACAGGAAGGACTGAACCCCTTTGCGAAGTTCCAGCCAGACGAACGTGCGGAAGCAGGTCAGAAGTACCAAAAGGTGCTCGATCTTTGCATTCGTGTGGCTGGGCAGAAATTGGGTGATTCATAATCTTGGGGCCGACCCCATGAGCCATGAGCATCTACTCGGCACCCAGTTTGGGGCTTCGTTTGCTGACCACAACGAGGGTGCATTGATCCTTCTCGATGTAGTCTGTTGCTGCCCCCCAGCAGCGAATTCCACGGCTTAGCTCGGGGAAGCATGATGTGGCCAACCCGAAGCAACGGTTCTGTCCAATACTTCCTCAGGGCACCGTGTGCTGTAACAGCTGAGTTTAAACTGATAGCTTTTTTTTTTTGAGGGTGGCCGGCGGGTGGAGATCGTAGCGTATTGCAGACAGTGTGCACCAGTCGCGAGTCGCGAGTTCCCGATGCCAGGCATTGGTAGACGAAGAAGCGCATCTCCTCTTCGAGGGCATGGTCTTGCTCAGCGATGTCTGGGTTGAGCTGTGCTTGGATTTGGTAGCTTGATTGCATTTCAGGCCTTGCAGCCTCATCTGACGAACGGTCTGATGTGATGTGTGGACTTGCATCTAAGCAAAGCACGAAAAGCATGTTGGGATCCCTCCAAGAGCACACGGCGTTCGCGAATTCGAGCAGCTTCGACCGACGCTTGGACCGCCTCTTGCAAGATGCCCTTGGCCCGACAGGGATGGCCCGTCTCCAGATGGATTGCGACGTCGAGCTGCGGGCGAATGTGCCTTCTTCGCATATCCAGGATTGCATGTGCCCCGAACATATGTTCTGACTAGGGGATCCGCTCGAAGCTGTAGTTATGACTTCAGGGTTTTCAAACAAACCGTGATGGCTGCGTGAGTGGGTACTTGATTTACAAAGCTGCTATAGTCTCTAGCTCTCCCTCTCTCTCCCTGCTGTCTCGCCGTCGTCGTCTCGCCGTCCCTGTTTGACTCTTTGTCTGTCTGCCTGCCTGCTTGCCTGTCTGCCTGCCTGTCTGTCAGTCTATCCGTCGATCTGTCTGTCTATCTTCCTGCTTGTCTGCATGCGGGCATGTGCCTTGTCGGACAGAAACCAGCCCTGCCACAATTACATAGGTTTCAATTCAACTGATTCAGCCAATAGCGAGCTTGCGTAAATATTCCTCACGCTGCATGCAGCTGGTCCGTGCGGCCGCTAGATACCCGTAACTCCACATGTTCGCGACTACACTCCGCGAAATCCTTAGTGTTTACCGGCTCCGGCAAACGTGCCTAATTCTCTCCTGTGGGAAGCAGAGAGCCGCCGAATTCTGCGGTCGCACGCGGCTAATCCGCGAAATCCTGGATATAATTGGTCCTAGTCGCACGCGGCTACTGCGCGAAATCCCTGAGCCGCCGCGGCTAGTCCGCGAATCTCGACTCGCACGCGGCTATTCCGCGAAATTCCCGAGCCGCGGCTAGTCCGCGAATCTCGACTCGCACGCGGCTATTCCGCGAAATTCCCGAGCCGCGGCTAGTCCGCGAATCTCGACTCGCACGCGGCTATTCCGCGAAATTCCCGAGCCGCGGCTTCTCCGCGAATCTCGACTCGCACGCGGCTATTCCGCAACATCCCGAGCCGCCGCGGCTAGTCAGCGAATCTGGCCTCGGCCGCGGCTATTCCGCGAAAGCCCGAGTCGCACGCGGCTTGTCCAGGATCGAAGTCCGTAGTCGCACGCAGCTATTGCACGACACGAATGTGTCCACATGCTAAAGCAGAACAATGTGATAGTGATGCTTTCTGATGGCTAAGACAACCAAACTATTTCGCTTCATAATTTCAACGAATTTGCTCATGCTGATTTTGCTGCTCGACGTAAGTTCCCGGGCTACTCCGCCGGGCTATACTAATTACGCAATCTGTATGCTATAGATACCGAGGAGCTGGTTCTGACTCGCCGACGGCCCAGTGTGCGACAAGATCTGCTGAGGGATTTCCTCGATGCTGTTCTCAGCTGCATCTACGAGATCTCCTGCTACAGGTTGTACCTCTTGTCGGCTCCCGGTTCTTGTGCGGGGCTGTTGGCCCGGGACAGCAGCAGAGTTCGTGACTTGGACAGGACCAAGACGGACATCCTGCTGTCCTTGAAGAAGGAGTGGAGTGTCGTGCTGGAGCTGGAAAGCAGCTCTGCAGGAGCTGCTTGCCTCGACAAGCTTTGCTCTTACACAAAGTGGCAGTGCTATCGGGAGCTCCTCGTGGCTCTTCACGAAGCCGACTTCAAGATGGATGACACAGCCCGCAGCCTTGTCTCCAGCTGGTTTCCAATGTTGACACAATCAGCCAACATTGAAGAACAGTTTGCCACCATTCAAGACAGCGTGAAGAGAAGCTGCAAGAACGGCAAAGCCTCTATGACAGCCCTCAGCAGCATCGCCGTCAAAGCGGTGTACCACAAGCTGACGGACAAGGAGGAACAGGCGCCCGCCGTCCACCTGGTCGACCGCGATTGGGAGGGTGCAAGCATTCGCGGCATCAAGCAAAAGATCTATTGCCCGGAAACGTTCACTGGCAGCACCTTGGCCAGTAGCCGTGGCTTCCCTCAAGACACCCTGACTAAATGATTTTTTAATATGAGAGCAGCGCTCCCTGGAACTTGATCCATGCTGGACAAAGATTGAAGAAATAACAAGTGTGGCAACTGCTGTACAGGTGCCGCTCCGCTGTGCTTTTCGTTTCTGCTGTGTACATTGCTTTGCACTACCTAGGCCAGCATGTCCAGATCGACAAGATCCTTTCCGACTTTGTGTCGACGTCGGCGCACCACCACAACAAAGGGGGCTTGAACCACATGCAGGCTTTCATCGAAGCGAAGAAGCGCCTCGCCAGAATCCATGATGCCCTCTGAATGGGAGACCTGAGACTTAAGACCCTAGACAGTGCTGATGCCAGGAACGGCCTGGAGCTGGCTTTGGCATCCGAGAACTTCTGGGTCGCCGGACTCATCCAGAAGGGCATGCTGATCAGTGTGAACGGCCAGTACTACATGTCGTTGGGCAACAACCCCGGGGTGGCTTATGCACCTTGAACCCAAGGTTTAAAGGTGAGTCAAGCAAGCTTCTCCAAACAATCAGAACGGTGTTCAAACTTCCTGCCCCGTGCCATGTTTGACAGTTCGCATTTGCAAGGTTTGCCTCATCCCAATATGCCAGAAATGTTTGTTGAACCTGTCCTGCTCCACTGCAGGCACTGCGACTGCGAGAGCTGGAGCTGGTTTTCCGAGGGAAGAGGCCGGCCGAGGCCGTGGATGAAGAGCACGTGGCTGCAAGGCCTCCGGTTTGGGAGATCGACGATGTCTTGACGACGGAGAACGACATTGTCAAAGCTCTTGTTATTGATGGCGGAGGGACACATTAGCCGCATTTAGAGCAATGTGTAGAAGAAGTGTAGACGTTAGTCTGTTCTTGCTTCAGTTGCCACAGCAACGTGAGATTGTTGAGACAGGAAGATTAACAAGCTGCTTTTGAGCTTTACGGAGGCAAGGCGGAAAAAATGCTGCTTTGTATGCACGAAACAAGCATGACCCCTGAAGGTCCAGTGCTTCGATTTCTCGGTACATTGCTGCGATGTCAAACTGGCCACGAAGCTGGGGACTTCCTTGATTCTGAGAAGGGCCCTGAAAGCCATGCCCCTCTTGGTCTCGCTGATCGCGAGCCGTGGGATCTTGAAGATTACATCGGACTGCCTGAGCAGAATGATCAACTGCTATGGCCAGCGGTTGAGGAAGAACGCTTCAAAATCCGAAAAGATCCGCACACTGATGCGGTTGCCTATCGTGCGCGAAGCCTTGTCAGAGGAGAATCTGGCGAAGCTCGAACAAATCCTATCGGATTTGGATGCAAAGAGAAGGCAGAAGTGCTCCGACGCAGAGCAGGACGAGGAAGACGAGGAGGTCCCCGAGGCTCCAGTGTGCGGTCAGTTTCCATTATATAAGTTTTACCGGTCTGTTGATATTGGAAGTCATCAAGGTCGGACGATTATGCGTTTGCCCCGCCCAGCAGAGAACAAAACCCGCCCGAAGACCCTGGATCAAGATCTGAATCTGTGTCTTTGCAGGTAATGTTATTACACAGTTATGAAGATTCGAAAGTATTACTCAGGGGTATGGGGGTCGGATCGGCTGTGCTAAGCACTTGGGGATGTGGGGCGGTGGGTCGACTAAATTATTGTATATCAGATTTTAATTAAAGTTATAGAGCATTCCTGGGTTATATGTAGCAGTTACAACACAGGCCATCTGGGACTCAACTCGTTCCATGAAGCTTTTGCCACAACGGGGACCCTGGACCCCAAGCCCCTGACGCCCTAAGTGTATGGAATATAATATGGCAACGCTGTTCATTAATCACATTATCCGAGACTTTGGATCCCAAGTCAACTGAAACAATGAGCCCCCCAACCTTGACTATTCCTCCTCCCAAAACGACCAGCAGTATTTGCATCCCCATACGTTCAGCAAAGTAGCATTGCAGCTACCTTCGGCTTTTTGGTAGCCACCAAAACAGAACTTGTTTTTGATCCTCGCACCGTCACCCTATGATATTTTCAAATTCAAGTTCGAGAGCCTGCTGCCGGGTGACATTCACAAGTAGGGCTATCTGATAGAATTCCGAAGGAAAGCAGTCTGGCAGTGTTCTGGGATGCAAGGCGATAAGCGACTGATTGCACAGGTCTGGGAGATGATAGCTGAGCCGGATGCAGCCTGGGAGGGCGCGGAGCAAATGCTCGAGCAACTTGCTGCAGAGGACTGCAAGCCGAGCTTTCTGAGATGTTTGCGTCTGTGTTATGCACACGTATAGCTTATGCTCGTGCCAGCTCAGATGGTAGGAAGCAGCCGCTGATCAAGCTGCCGGAGCTGAGCAAGACACTGCAGCCCCCGAAGAGGCGTCTGCCCAGCAGGACGCCGGATGACTGCGCCAGCTACCTTAAAACATATCCTGCCCCATGACTAGTTCGGCGCAGAAATTCTGGGCAGGATCAAGCTCCCCCTGGAGCTGCGGAACGCAGCAGGGCCTCGAGGAGCATGCTTTCCTGCACATCGACGGTGCCGGACTTCTTGCTCGAGAAATGGGGCCCCTTGGAAGGCGTCACGATCTATCATACGGAGCACCGGGATGCCACACGACCGCTTTTTCAAGCTCGCCTCTGCAGTGGCCAGTACAAGAGCAAGTGCCTTCTTTCAAAGAATAGTGTGTCGCTGCACGTGTATGTGTTGTCAGTTCGCTTGATCTCGCAGGGGGTCAGACAGTTCATTCCCCGTATCGTGGACCAACCTAGGGCGTCGACTGCTGCATCCTACAACCCTGACCTCCCGGTTCACGAGCTGAACGAGTCAGTCAAGGAGGTCAAGCAAATCAGCCCGGCGCATCGCTCGATGAGCCAGGCGTACTTTATGGTGTGGTGTTGGGCTTCCGAAGCTGTGAAGGGCAAGAGAGCTCGTACCGACTAACTAGCAGGACTAGCAGCTAGAACGCAGAGCATGAGAACCAGATAAGTTGCTTGTGAAAACTAGTCGGTTCGAGAGCATCTTGCGCAGCCACGACATGGGGACTTCTCGCAGGGGTGCAAGAAAAAGGCGCGATGCAGGCAGCACCATGACAGAACAGACCAGTCGAAGCAGAACCATAAGTTGAAGCAGGAGGGAAATCGAAGCAGAATCGATAGGGACACCTATGATTTAAGCCTTAAACCTTTTTTTTTTTGCATCCAAGCCTCTTGAAGCCTTAAACCCTTAAACCCTCAAACCCCGAACCTCAAATGCCCGAAGCGCCTCAAGAGGAGCCCTGAAGGCTCCAACAGCCCAGACAAGGCCCAGACCCGACCAGCCACGGTTTAGGGTTTAGGGTTTTGGGTTTAGGGTTTTGGGTTTAGGGAACCCTAAGATCCCGCTTTAACCGAGACCCTTAACCCTGATCCTAACCTGAAAGACCACATGACCCTGAAAAGTAAGGGCCCTATACCTCACTACTATGATTCCCTGTATGGTATATGAACCTTAAACCCTTTTAGGTTTCATTTCGTCCTAAAGGAAACACCACCAGACCTGAAAGTGCAGGGCTTGGACTCTCGCAACGCGCACTCTGCAGGCGAGGATTGTTCGGGTCGGAAAGGGCACTTTTGCCACAGGTCAGTGCAGATTTAAGGCTCCAGGTCATAGACCCCAGATCCCAGCACAAGCACGGGCCTCTCACAGCAGCTGAGGATGCAGCTGATTTCATGCCTCCAAAGGCATGAAGTTCTTGATACGAGGTTGGCAGATTTGAGGATTCAGGGTCTTTAGAAAATATAGGGCTCATATGTTTAAGTTTTCAGGGTTTGCAGGCTTAGGTTTTCAGCTTCATTGTTTGGGGCTTGTGCACGTGAACCTCTCTACGTAAGTCTAGACAGCGGTGGCTGAGCAGTACATGGTCGAAGGAGCAAAAGCTTGCAGCTTGCAAAGCTGAACTACGATGCTCAGATGTGTTGGCTTTCTGCCCGAAGATTGCTGGGGGGAGCGTCGTCAAGCTTGCACCAACTCAAGGCCTCCTGTTTACTCTGCCGCAAGCGGTTTCGTGATCTTTGGAAATCTCTTGCACGGCACGGCATCAGTCCAGTCAGTAAGCGGGAGCGAAAGCAGAGTCGATCTGACACGGAAGTTGCCCACGAAGGGTGTGCAAAGAAGCATAAGCTGGTCCAAAGCGAGTCTCACTCAGATTGTAGGCCCTGTTTGTAGGCACTGGTCCCCCGTGACAGCCATGAGTTAAAAGCCTACACCTACACCACTCTTGGTATAAGATCGCAAATACGCCTCCGAAGCGGCTCCAAAACGAAAGTTCCCGAAAGGGACCCCAATGAAAGTCCGATAACCCGACACACCAAACTCGACACCCGAATCAAAATCAATGAACCGCCTCCCCCCCAACCCACTCACAAAATGCAACGACTCCAACCAAAAAACAACCCTGCATAAGCCCTGATACAACCCCTGCAGACACCCCGGCAACCTGATAGACATTTTTTGCCAGTCTAAATTACCCGAAACCCTCAACCCTACCAGTACCCTAAAGATGCCCTAAACCCTAAGACCCGAAGACAAAGAAGATCTGCGACGGGTAGCCTCTGCAGCTCTTCCTCCTCCACGGCGCCATGGCCTCCGACAAAAAGCCAGGCCTGAGAGATTGGTTTTTCGGGGCTTTGGGGAGTTCGGTTTCAGGGATCCTTTCAAGGGTTAGGAGAAGAATATCATAATTAGGAGTTTAAGGGTCAGTTGTTTAGGGGTCGGCTGGGGTTTGTGGAGGGTTTGCGCTCTCGCACCTCGGACTCCGCCAAACGAAGCCTCTCGGTTCAGAAGTGCTTTCCTTATCCGAGAGGAAGCCTTGGGACAGAAGACGGGACATTATAGGGTTCTATTATTATTATTGTTATTATTATTATTATACATTAGAAGCTGCCCCCGGCCTGTAATAGTGACTATCAGGGTTATACGGTTATATTCGGGCCCTACTATATTCCTATAAAACCACAACTACAGGGCGGGGGCCCCTTCTAAATTATACTTGTGGGAATGCGAGGTCCAGCATGCAATTGCGATCTACAGCTTCAGAGTCCTCTTGGTACATGTCGGACAGCGACAACAACGAAGACGACGACGGCGACGACGACTTGCTTGACATGCTTGTCAAGCCTATCATGGCTTTGCCAGCTGATGGACACAAAGGCGATAATATCCGATAACGGCGACAATCCTGTCTCCACACAACCTGCCAAGCTTGTGTCCTGGCGCGGATATCCACCAGCAGGATTATCAAACCCCTTTTGGAACCGTGACCCCGAAAGCCTTCCTGGATCCACCCGAAAGTCTTCAACTCGCAGTTTCACCCATTTAAGCCGGAAGCAAAGATATAGGGGGCCTTAATAATCAGGATCGGGTCTCGCAGAGGCTTCCTGTAAGGGATGCGAGAAGGGATACTTTAAGTGTCCTCTAGCATATTAATTACCATAGACCCCTAAAGAATAGTAAACTATTCAGATTAAGGGATACTCTAAGGGTCCTACTATTTTACTTCCCATAGATCCCTAAGGAATTCGGAATGGTACTGTTCAGTAACTACTCCATATTCTAACCCGGCCTGGATCGAAGAAGCCCCTGCAGAATCGCAGCGCCGCGGCCGCGCACGACCGGGCCTCGCCGGGTTTGTAGAGCTTCGGGTTTCGGGATTTCCTAACCCCTAGTTTAGGGTTTAGGGTTTAGGGTTTAGGGTTTTTTTCCCTCGCATTGCTTGGAAACTGTGCCCGGCTCGCGAGGTCTGACATAGGGAGAGACGACAGAAGTTTAGGGTTTAGGGTTTAGGGTTTAGGGTCCTAAATCCAAATGCTATCCTTTTAGTAAGCCTTCAAAGAATCCCGTTAAAGCAACCCTTGATATAGAACCCTCCTTGTAAGTAGCCCTGAAAGGGAGCGTCATGCACATGCCGGCGGGAGGATCTCAACAGTGCAGTTGCGGCTTGCAAAGCAAACCGAAACCCTAAACTCAAACCCACAGAGCCCACTGAGCTGCAAATCAAGAGCTAGTAGACTTTGAGAATTATAGAAGGGTTTCTTACTAAAGGCATCTTAAACCCCACAAAACCACCCCCACCATGGCTCAGTCTGGCTCCCAGGCAGTCGAAGCATCAGATGGCACCCGACATCACGGGTATCTGATCAAGAAACCCTGGGCCTTCAACCCCAAAGTAGGATTCATACAAGGAACCCAAATAAAGGCCCAAGGTTCTTAATCAGGTCAAAGGTAGAGTCACATCTCAATTCAGATCATTTAACTATCTATCCTCTGCCCTGGACCCCTGACATCAATTTAATTACAGTAGAAGCGCGAAAGTTGATAATCCAATAGCCTCAATCCTTAAGAGTAATGCAAAGGGAATCCCAGCACTATTTGGCCTCAATCCGCTGTTCAACTTCATGGGCTTACTGTACTCCATGGTTATTAGTAAGGAATGTTGAGCATCTGATCCCCCAGCCCTAAAATTGCCCTGAGAAGGTCGTTAAATTCAGATCGACCCGAGCCCCCCCCAAACTCACAAAGCTAAGTTCAATCCACAGTAAGAAGGGAAGAGACCGCATGGGTCTAGGGCAACTGTCCACTTGGGGAGGCTCTTCCAAATTGTCTTCGAGCTTCAAATTTAAGCAGGATTCAGGGACCCGCAATCAGAAGTCAGTGGCGCAAAACCTTTTCGCATCCAGGCCTATTGCGACTGCCGGATACCCCTGAAGAAAAGAAACTGAGGCTCAAAACCCTGGACCCTTGAACCCGAAAGCCCTGGACCCCGATCCCTAACTTGGCAGAGCCTCGTGTCAGCCATGCTTGCGATCCGGGGACCATGGCATTCGCTAATCGCTCAGGGTGGTGTCTTAGTTTGCAGCAGATGGTACCCAACTATCAGCGCAAAACTTGCAATAGCGTAGCCTTTATGGTGACGATAAGTTCCCGGTCAAGAAGGCAGCGTTCAATGGCATGGGCTTACTGAATGCTCCCCTTTCATTCATAGCCACATTCGGGCTATGTGTCATGCTTGTGTTTAAGCTTAGCAGACAGAGCAGATCATATGGGCGAAACAGTTGTAAAGCTGAAGGTGCAAAGCTTCGGGTGTGCTGACTTTGAGTGACTTTCAACTACAAGCTCGAAGGACTTGGTGTTTCGGCTGCGTGCCTCGGTCTCACTGTTTTTGGTCTGAGTTTGACATCGAAAGGCTTTGGCGTTGAAGTCAACTGAGCTTCATTTTCTCGCAGGTTTCTGCGCCAAGCAATGCTGACCCAGCCTGGGTGCAATTGCTAGCAGCTAGCACAAGCCTGCTCTGCTTCTTCCTCGTGTAGGACAGACCCTTCACGAAAGCACCGTTTCAGCCTCAAATCCTGAACCGTCCTTGGTTAGAAGCCAAGGACTGACCGGAACCCCCCAGAAATATGCCACAAGCATAAAGCCGGACTGTAGCCCAGCTTACAATGTGTGAGTTCTCCGGCGAATGTTTACCCGAAGCCGAAGCCAAGCTGTAGTAGTTGCAGCAAGGGAGTTTGTACACTGTTGTCATCTACCTCTTGCTGTGTGTATGTATGCATGCATGCGTAAATTTATGCATAAATAGACCGAGGTCAATGCACACACACACACAGAAAGACAAGCAGATGTGCAAGATATGCATATGGGCCTTTTGGTGATATGCCTAGGATATGTAAACGTGCATGTGTATGTGCATGTATGCGTGCGTATGTGCTTGCACGTGAAAGGATGTACTGCATGGATGTGTAAGTGTAAGTGTGTGAGGATGCATTTATGTACGCGTATGCGCATGAATTTGTCTAGACATCTGCATTGGCATATGCAATGTATATGTACATGTTTTGCTAATTGTGTATACGCATATGTGCATGTAGGTACTGTAAAATGTACATGCATGTATCTGTAAGTGTTTA